ATCATAAAGTTTGGGAGGGGCATAGGTCAGTTCCTATGGAGAAAGAGGGAACAGACTGTGACAAAGAGAGTTTGCTTAGTGGTGCTGAGTCCAGGCATAAGCTGATGGCTCCTAAGCCTCCACAAAAGTTCATCTAAACTGCCCAAATCTTTAAGAAAATTGAATACTGAACTTGCATTATGTGGTAAAGGAGTTTGGGGGTACCAGGAGGGGTCACTGAAGGTCTACAAAGACAGCTGGGGCGTGAAGGGGAGAGAGGCATGGAGAAGCTCAAAGACAAAGATCACCTGCCCCTGCTTTCTCTTTTTATCACATGTCACCTGAGCATAAGGAAAGGAGACAGAACGTTCTTTTCCCTTACCCTCTTTTCTTGGCCCCAGAATCAAGAATGTGGCCGACAACATAGTGCTACCTTAAATCAGAAAGTGCATCTTCATTCAAAGAAACAAGCAAGAATGTGGCCGAAGACATAGTGCTACCTTAAATCAGAAAGTGCATCTTCATTCAAAGAAACAAAGCCAGCAGAGTGGCTGGGGTTTGGATTCAGACAAATCTGGGTTCTGATCTCAGGCTCTGTTTTCCTTGCTTGGTGCCACAAGTTGAAATCAACTCAAGGGCAATATGTATAGCCTTAGACAAGTCACCCATTTTTTAAAATGAGTTTGTTTTGCAAATTTATAAAATAGAAATAATTATAATTATCTCCCTTTTATGAGTAAGATAGAAGGGAGATGAAATTATATCTATTTTATAAATTTGTAAAAGACAAACTGCCTTCTATCTGTAAAGCAGGAGCCCCGATGGAATCATGGGGTATATGTTGAGCTGCAAACCACAAAGTCGGCCGTTCAAAACTACCAGCCACTCCCTGGAAGAAAGATGAGATTTTATACTCCTTTAATAAAGAATTACAGTCTTGGAAACCCACAGGGGGGAGTTCTGTCCTTTTCTACACATTTGCTATGAGTCAGAATTGACTTGATGGCAGTGAGTTTTTGTTTTTGTTTTCTATACGTAAAGTGCCCAGTGTGTGGTACATAGGAGCTGATAAGTGAATAGTCTTAGTATCATTAGCATGGAAACCCTGACCACAATTGAACAGTGATTCTTTGGTAAAAAGTGATTTTCTAATCTCAACCCATCAACACTTCTGGAATATAGCCTTACTTATAAATACAGGTGGTGCCCTGCATTTCTGAATTCCTGTGTAGAGATTTGAAACAACCCAGACATTTCTAAAGAAGAAATCTTAGAAGAAAGAGAAAGCAGAGTTGTCAGCATTCTTACTCCTGTATAATAGAATTCTAAAACTTAAATTGAAGAAGTGAAAAAGAGTAGAGCACAAATTAGGGAACAATATAAAATTAAAGTTCATTGCTAAAAGGATCTAAATGTACCCAAAACATGATGTTGAAGGGGGTGTGGGTTGGGGGACGGAAGTGCTTAGTAGACAAGCTACATATGTAAAAACAGGAAGATATGAACTGGGCAAGAAAAATCTTGATAAAATTAGTTAACAAAAACAATCTATAAAGCAGCATTCATTCTAAAGGAAACATTTTAAATGGTATTAGGGGCATGTTCAAAAAACGATTAACTATAGAAATCTGACCCCACTTCAGCTCTTAAAAGAGTTCTTTGTCTTGATGGCCAAAATCATTGTGGTATCTTCTAATCACTCATTATTAAAGACATTTCTTTTTATATAATGAAAAGATCTGTAAGTACTTTACTATGATTCCTTTGGTGAATGAGAAAATTCAAGGTTTAGTATGTGGTCAGTAAAAGTATGCTTTTTTAGCCTAATTAATAATAGTCTTTCTCCTAAATTATATTATTTTTCTGAATTGACTTTTTTTAAGTCCTAATAAATGGAATTGCGGGATAGTTAACATGCATAGCTGCCAACTAAAAAGTTGGCAGCTTGAAGCTGTTCAGAGTCCCTTGAAAGAAAAGTCTGGCCATCTACTTCTGAAAACTCAGCCACTGGACATCCTACAGAGTGGTTCTGTTCTGACGCGAATAGGGTTACCATGAATCAAAGTCAAGTCAGTGGCAACTGGTTTGGTTTAATGGATTCCAAGAAACTGCTTTGTCAAGACAGCACATACTTTGAGATCTCCTAAATTCCAAAAACAAGAGTATGCTTCCCACAGAGAGCGTATTTTCACGTTGACGAGACAAAAGAATTCCTTTATCCTTATACTTTTCTTCACGTCTATTGTTCTTTAGTCCCATTTCTTGCCTTGCCAAGATTGTCTCAATAGCCTTCCCAACTCATTTCCTTGACTCCGATATGTTTTTCCAAACCTTAGCTGAAAGGCAAATGTGATGTCACTCTCTGTTTAAAATGTTCAGGAGCTCCACAGTACCCTAAGAATGAAATTCAGATCCCTTAAGAAGACGACTTACTGTTTATCTTTTACTTCAATGCCTTCCATTCGTCTCCTTGCTCTCCCCCTTTTCCAGCTCTTCTACTGGACCACATGCTTTCACACTTCTGGACCTTTGCGTATGTTGGTTCCTTTGCTTAAAACTCCACCTCTGACCTCCCAACCGCCCCCGCCCCACAGCCCATTTTGTTGCCAACTCCCTTCTATTAATCATCTAAGCTTTATCTCAGAGATCTCTTTCTTCAGGATGCCTACCCTAAAACTCCCCTCCCCCACACCTCAAGTCCAGTCATCCCTAATGCTTTATAGTTCTTCGGTTCGGTCAAGTCATTGGGCAATTACAATGCATTTACATAGCTATATCAGCTTGATTAGAGAAAAATAAAAGCGAGGGGGGATGCAAAGACAATTGCCTTGACTTTAATTTATAGGGACTACATTCATAGGGAAAGGAACTATTTTAGAACTACTGTAACTTCTTTTTTTTTTTTTATGTAACTTCTTAGATGAAATATCAAGAGTCTTCTAGAAAGACTAACACAGTGAAATGACATGTTTAAGGGTTTATACAGTCGCTTCTGGCCTATGATGAGAGCCACAGTCATTATCAGAAGCACAGCTCTTTCCAGACATTGTTGTTTTATAGGACCTTCATCAGTTCAGCAGATGTTTATTGTGTGTCCATCACATGCTCAGCATTGGGCATTCATTAGGGGAAGCCCCTTCAGGCATTGGGCCTCTTTCAACAGTGAACTCCTTAGAAAAGACCCATTATTGAAGGATTGAAGCAAAATATTTCGAGAAGAGAAATCTGCACAATGATATATGCTGGTCAGTTGATATAGCTGTTTACGTTCTTGGTTAATGTAGATTTATTAGGAGGCAATCTTGTCATGTTAGAAAATAGAGTGACTAATTCCCAGTACTGCTCCATGGGAGAGAACAGAAATCAGTACTCCGTGAAGAATTCAGGTCTCTCTTTATAGAGACCCTAAAGGAATCAGAACTTTGGATGACATGCAGGTTCCCAGTGGGCCACTTGATTTGATTACAGATTAAAACCATATTCTTTTCTTGGTTCATTTATTGGTAACATCACAAGAAGTGGGGGAAATTTTGGGGGGAGGGGATCCTAATCAGAGCTTTCTATGTAATTTCAATATGTGTTGCTTCACTACACAGTTAGTAGGCATCAGAGAGGACGCATGGGTGGTTCCCTGGTAGAAGGCGCACCTTCAGTGTGGGAAACCTCATTCTGTCTCCCAGCCAATGATGCTGAGCAGGTTTCTGAGGAGTTTCTACTAAAACAAACCAGGAAGAAACTCTGCTTCATAAAGCAGCCCATGGACAGCCCCGTGGAGTGCAACTCTCCCACTCTCAGCAGCTTACAGGGATAGCTCAGGACCAGGCAGTGTTTCCTTTTGCTCTTCAGGGGACAGCCAGCAAGCGCCAGACATTCTTAAATACTGTCTGACATTTTGACTTTCACTGGCTTAAGCCACTTTCAGGTCACCTGGGCACAAGCTTTTCTTTGGCCTCTCATCCGAAAATGGAACATTCTCTATTTTGTAAGTGACATAATTGCAATGTCACGAACCAGGTTATATGCTCTCATGGACAACCAGCTTATTTTTTTCCATCCAGAAAGTAAAATCACAGATCAACTTGCTGGTACAATCAGGCATCCTTTCCCATGTACTTTCCTCATTATCTGCCTTTGTGGGTCACAGGCCCCAAACAGGCACATGCATTTATGCTTCCAAGTTATTCATTTCCCGCCAGTTTATCTTAGAGGATGTCATCTCACTGCACATTGGGAGACTTGCTGAGCTTGATTTTGCTGGTTTGTTTATGGCTCAGGGAGCACTGGACCAGTGTTTGCGTTTTGGCGGGGTTTGTGTGTATCTGTGCTCAGTGGAAGACAGTTTGGAACCCTTGCTCTATAGCCTTTTGTGTTAACACTGACCAAAATTGCTTCTCTGACCTGTAAAAATATTTCAGGTGCTTTAGCCACTTACAAAAGCAGCTTATGAAAACATGTAGCACATACCTTACTTATCTGGAGGAGGTAAATAAAACATCACTATTAACTGCTTATTTTAAAATATAATTTAAGCACGAAAAGAGTTACAGTCTTCTCTGACACATTGTTTCCTAAGACTGAAACATCTTTTATGAGTCTTATTTCTGTGTCAGTAATTATTGATTTAAACTCCACTTGTTTCCTTCCATCAGAATGTTCTTTTTTAACTTGAGCTTGTAAGCGTTGGAAAGCACAAGGGCAAAAAGCAAAAAGTGATGTAATTTTTAAAGAAAAGATTAAAAAAAGAAGCTAATGGGGCCATGTTAAAAAGTATTAACTGGACTTGAGAGCTATGGGCCCAACAATGTCAGCTATTTGCGATTCTTCACAACCTATATTTTCTCAATTTCCTCATCAGACTTCAGAGCGAGAAATTCTCCTTTATAGCCCAGGGTGTTTATGGGACAGATGGGATATTTAAAACCTTTGAATATACGTGGAAAGAAAGGGACAATTCACAGATGGGAGATCAAGGCTTACTATTTGTGTGGGAGAAAGATATTTAAAGTTTGTACATGACTTACCAAAAATAAATCTTCATGAATTTAGGCCATGGTCCTGTACTTGTTTCCACACTCTGTGGGGCCATTCGGCGTTCTGTGTGGTCGTTATTGGAGAGGAAGAGGGGAGTTTTCACTCGCCAATGAAGTGGACAGAGAATTGATTCTTGGGGGCAGGCCTTAGTCTCCAGCTGGACTGCAGTTTGGATCTAGGTAAATGGGTAGGGGTGGTGGGCCCCGGTCCTGCGCTGGGAGTACTTGGGCTGGGGGTGGGGAGGCCGAGTCGCCTCTCTGGAAACCCGAGGGCTCGCGTTGCACCTTGCAGCCACAACGCACTTTTCTCCTCGGGGCCCCCAGAGCCGACTCCGGGCCTGAGCATTAGCTCATCTCCTGCTGCGGAGCGGGGGCCCTGGAGCTTGTTTTCTCCGGGTCTCGGCAGTCGGGGCGGGGCTCCGCGGCGCGATGGGCTCTCATTGGCTTGCGGGGCGGC